TTTCAAGACTTTTCAAGACCCCGCGGACACCCTGCAGTTATACATCATTATATCGACCATTATACATTATTACTGGCATTCTTTGTTAAATGTTCAAACGGTTTGTTTTAACTGTTAAAATTCCAATAAAGATACTTTGGGAAAAAAATGAGTACCTATGATAAAAATTACAGTCATCTACAAGCTTTGCAAGTGGGAAAACCTGAAAAATCAACAGTGTATCAAATACTTGATCTCCCCACTGTAACTAGTTTGGATCACGAGTCTATGCAACTTTATATTTTATGAGTCAGGAGCTGTAAAGTTTGAGAAATGCTTCTCTAGATGTAAAGTAGAAGAAAGAGCTCATACCTTAGATAGTAGGGCTGTGTATTAGCAAGAATTTGGCGATACGATACATATCATGACAGAGGGGTCACGATACGATATATCCCGATATATTGTGATACTATAAGCAAAGCAATATATTGCGATTTTTTTTGTCCAAAAATTCTATTAAATAAAAACCTCTTACAGGGGAAAAAAAATTAAAAATCAAAATTCATTGTCTCAGAAAATTCTAATATTACACAGACATACTTTTGATACATTTAGCTGTGTTCTGCTTTGTATGTATTTTATTTGTTTCATATTTCATCCATGTTTTCAATTATTAGACTAAATTTGACAATAAATAGTTTGAAAATATAAATTTTGCAGCGTTTAGTTTTTAATATTAATTTACAATATGGTCACCCAACACTTAACAATAGCCTCTACCTCAAGAGGTAGAGTAGCCAGATGGCTGGCTCACTGCTGCCAACTAGTGGTCAGAGGCTGAACTACAACATAAAAATGAATGGCTGGCAGGAAAGTTGACATTTTAAACCTTAATAATAAAATCGATACAGGGCTTTAGAATATCGATACAGTATCGAGAAATGAAATATCGCGATATTTCAGTGTATCGATATTTTCTTACAACCCTATTAGATAGCGCGTACTTGTGATTGCCTCTGATTGTTGCTGAACAGGTGCCATAGCGAAGACTGAGAAGAACAAACAAGTTCTGGACAAGCTTCAGGTGGAACGGGAGCGAGGGATCACTGTGAAGGCCCAGACAGCCTCGTTGTTTTACACCCATGAGGGACAGCAGTACCTGCTGAATCTCATAGACACACCTGTAAGCTCTTAAACGTCATGCTTCAGTTTGAAGACGTGTCTGTTGTTCTGCTTTTGTGATCTGAATGTCGTTTTCAAATACGGACCTGGATGCATTTGTTTTTACCCTTTTGTTAAAGAAAAATACACAACTGTTTCTAAAGTAACTGAAAAACAATGACAAAAACAATAAAAAGAAACACAATTGCTAAAAATCAACAAATGAAAGTCATTTATTGTGTTAAAAAGGGGACATATTATGCAAAATTGACTTTTTTACACATTTTTTATACTTCAGTTTGAGTCTGTACTGCTTCTAAAAAACGATCCAAGTGCCAGAAGGAGCCTGGAGACTCCAGCATTTGTTTCCCTGGAGCCTCCAGGCTGAGTCTCGGACCTTAACCGCCCCTCAGTTTGTCTTCACCGGATCAGGAAACAGCAAAGGACGCGCGTTGGCCTCCCAAAGGTGCCTGACTTGGTTAGACAATCCAGCCTGTCCCCCAGTCTGTTTTTTTTTCCATAAACAAATTGTTCTGAAGAGATCTCAGAACAGGCAGAACTGAACTAGATGTATGTACACATTGCCAAACGTATTCGCTCACCTGCCTTGACTCACATATGAGCTTAAGGGACATCCCATTCTTAATCTATAGGGTTCAATGTGACATTGGTCCACCCTCTGCAGCTAGAACAGCTTCAACTCTTCTGGAAGGCTGTCCACAAGGTTTAGGAGTGTGTTTATGGAGATTTTTATATTGCTAAAATACTTTTAGCAATATAGTGTGTGTACATATATATAAACTAGTAAAAATTGAAGAGACAGATAACATAAATGCTTACCAAAGAGCCCAGAACAACTTTCAAAAGAGATTAAATGAACTCCAAGGTGATGGTACATCAGTGCTGGTCACTGTTTGAACCAAAGCAAACTTATAGATGGTTTTCAATGACGTCATCATCCGGGAATTTTTTTACCCTCCGCACCCCGTTCGTGGGCTACTATTTAGCTTGTAGCGATAAAACCAGTATGGGAGAACCACAAAAGCAAGGGAGAAAAAATGCAAAAAGGCCACTGAACAATGCAGACGAGCATGATCAGGATAATAATACTTTGTATTTAAAAGGTGCCTATCAGGACACCCATGGATCTCCTGGATAATAAATCTAAATCAAGGTATTTAGCTTTATTGAAAGTATCAATCCTTACGAGCTGCTGAAGTCTGCAGAGCCAACATGGAGGCTGTATTGACATGACTCTGTGTGACTTTCTCTGATGTTATTAGTAACTACATACTCCAAATGGGTACATACTGCATAATAAGGAGTTTTTTGTGATTATAATCTGATACTGTCAGTGTATCCTACGTTCATGTTTACATGGGTAGATTGCATAATATTCAAAACACTTTTCTGTTCATAGTGTGCAATCTTTTTCTTTTTTAAAGAGTAACTTACCCCAAAATTAACTTTTTTTAGCTGATAAACTGTCTAGAATGTGTCTAAAATGTTATATAGTACTGTTTCNAGTTCAGTCAAACGTTTTGTTAGACTTTTGTTGCTGTGTGTTTATCCTTTTTTAAAATTCTGAATAGGTTTCCTGAATTCATTCATTACAATTAATATAATAATACAAAGTGTGACATAAATTGATTTTACACTACTTTACCTTTACAGCTCATGAAACATAAATTAATTTTGTGTGGGATCGTATTTTGTAGGCCTGTAAGAAGTTTTAATACATTGTTTTTGGTACCTGTTTTTCTCAAATTGTGTGCATGTGTTAGAATAAATGATGGTGCCGTATTAACGTAAATCTCTGTTAAAATGTGCTTTATGAAACAAAGTCCAATCATTTGTAGTAGTTCACAGCGCAGCGGTGCCACCTCCAATATGGCGGACGCACAGCCTCATCACAAGTGGACCGACACAGTCAACGAGACCTCTACGTATTTATATCTATGTGCCGGCTGACTTGTCAAGATGTCGTCCCCCAGAAAGCTCGTGCTGAAGGAGCAATGACGATATGTTAGAATACTTGTAGTTTATTTTTCAGTGTAAGATGGCGAACAGTAAACTGATGGTCCACCGCTTTATATTCTGAAAAGCTCTTGTTTCTTTTGTTACGAAGTGTTGCGCAGCTAGGCTAGGCTAGCAGTTAAAGTAAACATGGCTACTCTCATAACGCGGCTCTGTGAAGCATCTCTATTAAAACATGTTGCATACTTGAGACCGTGCAGAAAAAGAATTCAAAGCTACAGCATGTGCTACACGGTCTGTAGACATCGCTGGACGAAAAGTCTTCCTGTTAGAACCTGCAGCGTCAGGAGGTTAAACACACAACAAGACAAGGTTAGTGTAGCCAACACACAGGAACCTGAACGCATCACTGCCTGGTGTGTTCACAGTCCTGCTGCTTCGCTCTCATTGTAAAGCAGTTAGCTGACTGTTTTCCTTCTGTTTTCAAGGTCGACCTGTCTAAGTTCCCTGTGGACAAAATCAGGAATTTCTGCATCATTGCTCATGTCGATCATGGGAAAAGCACTTTGGCTGACAGGCTGCTGGAAATGACAGGTACACTTCTGCTGCTCTGGAAAAAAAAAAGCTGCATTGATTTTAGTGGTCATATTTGGAATTAGAATCTTTGATTCTAATTTTGGGCTTGAGAAGACCTGCAGTAATAAAGTAAACTTTCAAAAATGATTGTCAAAAGTATATACACTCACCGGCCACTTTATTAGGTACACCTGTCCAACTGCTCGTTAACAATTTCTAATCAGCCAATCACATGGCGGCAACTCAGTGCATTTAGGCATGTAGACATGGTCAAGACAACCTCCTGCAGTTCAAACGGAGC